TAGGGCTTCCACACACTACCACACGATTTTAGTGAGTTCCACACTTCTATAGAAAACTTCACGTTATTATTATAGAACATTCAATACTTCTCTACACACATATATAGAATCTTGGACATCTCTAAAAATTCTAACATTCTCATGAATTTCTCCTATAAAGAGAGAATCCAACATAATCTCGAGAATGTTTTGATCTTTTTGTTACGAGAAATGTGACAACATATTCGCCAAACTCAACACTTTCTTGCTCACTATAACCACGAAAAGCCAACTTGTGTGTCATTAAATGTCTAAAACAATCCACACTTGCATTCAAATGAGTGTGATATGTTGCAGGCAATGCTTGTATTCATATAGACACATACGTTTGCATAAAGACTTTGCCTTTTATTTTAACACTTAATCTAAAATTATCAGTAGTAGTACTTAAATATATTATCAGTAGTAGTACTTAAAAAATTTGCCCGAAGCGGGGGCACTTGCCCCCTCATGCCCCTCCCCAGCTCCTCCACTGCAAACAAGGGCAACACTCCTAAGTCTATAGATGAAAAAAATCTGTTTTTAAGTAGGTTATCAGTTAGCTTATTAAACTTGTCATTTCCCTGTACGGCCTGATGAAGTTTTAAGTTTTTCTAGAAACACCATAAAATATAAATAGGCATTTCTTTACGAATATAATAGACAAAACTGGATTTTATCCAGCGAGTTCCTTTCATATGTGTAGTACCTTTATTAGCGAAACAGCTTTCACCTAATGGACTATAATTTCCTTAGTCCATAATGCATTCACATTATATATGTCATTCATTATCAGCTCACTTGAAGTACTAGGGATTAAGGATGACAAGGGGGGCGGGGGCCCGTGGGGAACCACCCCGGGGGGGAGTTGGGGCGGGTGATTGGGTGGGGCGGGTATGGGGCTATGTTGTAAAAACCGGACCAGAGAACGACCCGGAGCGATGGCCGGGTCAAGGGTCAACCCGGACCCGCCGGTCAGCCCGGTCAACGACCGAAAAACCCGGTCAACACACACACATATAATATTTAATATTCATACATATTTATAATTTATATGTAGAAAATGTTACTCATTCATAAACTAATAATGATGAGACAATACAATCCAATTAAGAAATCATTATTTTAGAATTGGTTTTAACAAAACTTAAAATAGATTTGCATGTAGATGGATAAAATATATAGATATGACATTAATTACAAAATCTTAAAAATATAATAGAAATATATTTTCACATCAAGTGAAATATGAAATATAATACGGATTAAACATGATGTGAAGTATAAATAATACAAGAATGAGTGTATATGCATTACTATTATTGTGAATTCTTTAGTAAAGTAATACGGAGTACTACGTATTTAATATTCAATGCTTAATAAATATCAAAATGGTACGTACGATTGTAATAAAATACCAATTAATTATTAATTATATACATAATTGGAAAGTATAATAATAGTATTGATGTGTATTTTTAGTATTTTTATTATGAATTAATTGATTAATAAACTAATTAGTTAAGACTTAAATATATCCCAAGAACGATGAAGTATAAAGCCCAAGTACCTAGTGTATTGGTGATGTTTTGTTTGAAGAACAACTTATCCCCCAAAATTTCAAAGTTTCTGGACCTTCGATCAAAGCCATCCGTTGGGAAAAACGTAAAGGTTCTCTTAAATTAAATACCGATGCCAGCTTCTTACCTGGTAGTGTTGGTGGTGGAGCAATTCTGAGAAATCAAGAAGGGGATTTCGTAGCAGTTATTTCCTTTCCGTTGGTGGCATCTTCTTGTCTTGAAGCTGAAATCATTGCTATCAGCTTCGTGACTCGTTGGGCTGTTGAAGCAGGGTACTCGGACTTCCAGGTAGAAACGGATTCGGCCATGGCCGTTTCTTACTATGCTAAGGTTGGGATAGGTCGGTGGCAAGCTTTGTTTGAGGAAATGCGAGACTTCGAATTTAGGAAAGGGTTACTCTCAGACATAGTTGGCGTGAAAGTAATTGGGGAATTTATCACAAATAGACTAAAAGGGGAAAACAATATCAATTTTATCACCTTTCAAAATTTCTTTCAAAAATAGACTCACGTTCATTTTTTTTTCACAAATATCCGATGTATGTAATAGCCGTTGCTGGAGTCTCGAGACTATAGTCACTATACAATTAAGAAGTGCACCGTAGATTCCAATATTCCACACCATCTATGAAGACGATGATAATGCACTACAAAGTACAAACTTTAGGAAATACTCAATTCTTATTTTTTAATACACAATAATGAAACCTTGGGGAAAAAATAGAAAATAATGTAAAAAAATAGTAAACTATAAATAAAATGCAAATAACTGGAAAATTTTCAATACAAAAAAAAAATACTTAGAGTAAAAAATATATAAAGAATGCTGAGTTCAAAACTTATAAATTTAATTAAAAACTAAAAAAAAGGAATTAAAATTTTAAAAAACAATCATGTTTTTGTAAAAAAAAAAAGTATTCACATGAAAAAATTGAATATAAACATTTTAAAAAGTTTAAAATGTCAGGAAATTTTACGATAATATGATTTTCTGTAATGTAATTACGTAGTATTTTAAAACGTGTAATCCAAAATTTATATATTTATATATACAATGTAAAAAAATCAAAAATATAAAAAGAAATTTATATGAAATTAATAAAAAAAACGGAAATATTTAAATATATACATAGGTAACAAAATAGGAACTTTTTTTAAAAACTGCAAAGTGTAAATAATATTTTAAAAAATATTTAAAATATTAAATCTTTACAAAAAAATACTCCCTCCGTCCCAGGGAGAAGTTCCCGGGTTGACTTTCACACATATTTAGGAAATAAAGTTACTGAGGGGTAAATTTTACTGTTTGGCACTGTTTCGACACTGTTTGGCACTGTTTCGACACTGTTTGGCACTGTTTCGACACTGTTTGGCACTGTTTTGCACTGTTTGACACTGTTTTGACGTAGGATAACTTTCCATTTAGGGAAATGGGAACTTTTTGTTGGGACTACCAAAAAAGGAAAGTGGGAACTTCTCCCTGGGACGGAGGGAGTAGTATATAAAATACTACGCAATACAAAAATACAATATAGTTTATTTTTGAAATTATAAAAACATATGGAAAACATTATAGCTATTTAGGAGAGTTAACATTTTTAATATATATATTCATAAATCCAAAATATCCAAAATATGTATAACATATTAATAATTAATAATAATACTAGTAATAATAATACTAATGCGAAGTAATTAAAATAGGTCTATCTAATTCTTGTTTAATATATAACTCAACTATCTTGTAAAATTGGTTATCAAAATCATATAAAACAAAATGAATTTGGAAAAGTTATAAAGTGATATTAGCTTAAACACCTCAGGCACAGTGCGAAATTGCGAATGTTTTTTTCTTTTAATATTACGGTGCATTAATTCTTTTCTTATGAATGTTATCTTTATGATTGTAGTTAGGGCTCTTAAAAATCTGGTGACCATAGGTACTCCTAGATGCTGTCAAATGACCATGGTTGATTCAATGTGGGGCTTATTAAAATATTATAGAACTAATCAATGCAAATAAAGTGTTTGATAAAATGACTAAATCAAAACGCATATAATGTGTACTAGATTTGAAATGGGATGTAAAATGACATTGACACTTAAAAATTACGGAATAAAAGGTTTTTTGGGTATGTACTAGAAGTGTTGTGAGATTTTTGAAAAACTATCTGGATCTAAAATAGTGTTAATTTTTTACGATTATTTTCCCTGTTAGATACCCCGTGGGTCTAGCGGGTCGGGGCAAGGGATGGGGCGGGTCGAATAGTAGTGGGGGATGGGGCGGGGGCGATTTTTTAGACACGGGGCGGGGGATGGGGGAGTGAACCCCCACCCCATTGCCATTTCACCATACATATATGATATGTAGGAGTTTTCTGACTCAACTTACTCTGTTCTATGGTTTACACTTGACTGGCTTTGAATTCCATGAATTCATTTGCAAAACAACTACACGGTGGCAAGCAGAAATTTGAAATAAAACTGAAAAAGAATACTTTGAGCAACTGCTAGTTGTATTTCAGTTTTTAGCTCTAAAAAACTGAAAAAGAACAGGGTTCTACTATAGTTTATAGTTTTCAGCTTTTCAATGGACCCCAAACCTTTTTAGCTACTTCCAATTGTCATAATTTAAAAAATATATATGGGAGGAGGCCAGATCAGCCCAGGGCCAGGACCCTAAAGTCCTAAACCCTGGTTACAGCTCCGACTCCGGTTTGCCACACCAGGTCCAATTAAAAAAAACAGCTGATTCTAGTCCGAACCCGAACCGTGACCACCCCTAATTGAGTATCTTATTCCCATCTAGATATTACACTACTTCACTTTTTCTACACTACACTACTTCACATATAACAGGGTCAAATGTCTCAACGTGTCAGGACATAGATAGTTTCAGTAAGGATGAGTAATATAGATCATGTATCAATGTGATGGTGCTCATCTTTTGGTCACCAAAACAAAAAAAAAAATAGGCTTAAATGATTTAGGCAAAAAAACAAGACATAATTGTCATATTTTTAGATTTAACTTGCCATAAACTCTTCTCTTAATGCCTTGTCCATGTGATGTCTTAATAAGAATGAAGGATGGTCTTGGTTGAAGTTTATTATATGTGACATTAACCCACAAAGCCATAAATGTCATTCTTAGTTCTTAACTCCATCATTGTTCACAAGCATAGTAGTCAATGGCTAGATATGGCGCGCGCCATATGCGCCATCGCCATGAAAAACTGGTCGTCGCCATAGCGCCATATGCGCTTTATGCGCCATTCATATATGCGCCATCGCCATGCGCCATGAAAAATGGCTTTGAGCCATGGCGATCGTCGTGCGCCATGACCACTATGTTCACAAGCAAGTATCGTGAACTTTATTATGTACAATCATATTTCGTAGTCACTTGAAATAGTTCAATAAATCCCAAACTTAATCTCGTGCAACATATGAGTACTCATAACACAATGGTTCTTGCCTTCCTCAGTCTATCATAATTCAGATGCACTATTATGATTGAATGAAAAATAATAATAATGCAAAACAGAACACACCAAGCAGACATGATGATTGTGATGTTCACGTCCAGGAAAACGCCTTGGATCACTAGATAGGAATCCAACGATAAATAGTGAAACAAAAAATGACTACTTTGTTGATTTCCTATCATGTTGTAACACATATCTTCCTTTTTTACTTTCAAGGAATCGGTTAACAAAATAAAATAACGCAGTTTTTATGAAATCCAATATTCTTCAAATTTTCTATTTCGGAGTCGAAAGAAATTTTAACCCTGGGGACTTTCTTTCACTCAAAGTTCAAATTCTTGTTTCCTTTTCTTGTAAAAGAGAAGAGTAAGAAAACATGGTAAATTTCAAGTCCTTTACTTTGTCATGGGGTTAAAGGTAACAAACCATTACTCATCAATAGAGAAAAGGAATGACAGCTTTCCTTTTCGTAGGGTAATCCTCCCCAAATTTCTGCAGATACCATTTGTGATGGGAATATGCGCGGGGAACTAAGTTGGCAAAAGTGAAAAGGAAGAAGGCAAATCCAGCTGAAGACCACCAAGTCATCATCACCCCCCACCCAAACCACTCCAAAAGCTCCCCAAAGTAATTAGGGCAACTAACATACTCAAACAGCCCACCTCTGGGTATCTTATACCCACCACCCTCACTCTTCAGCCCAAGCAATACTCTGTCCGCCCAACAGTTTGCCGCCATTCCGGCAACAAAAACCACCAATCCGGCACTGAATCGCAACCAGAACACCACACCACCTTCGTAATCATCAGCGTAGTGAGAAACCCATCTAGTCTGCAGGTAAGCATTCAGGATGTTGAAAGTGAACGACATCAAAGCAATGCTCACTGGGAACCCGGCAGCAGACCTTTTCAGGCGATAAGATGTGAGGTAAATCCGGAGCGGGTATATGAGGGTTCTGTTGGTGTAGTGAATCAAATACGGAGCTATGAGGATCTGGGCAAGCGGGTTGGAATGGTTCTTGCCGAAAGGGAAGAGCAGGAGAGTAAGAAAGAGTGTGGGGCTCTCCATCACAAACCAGGCCAGGGCTGGGGGGATGGTCGGTCCCCACCCAGGACGGACGTGCTTTCCGAAAGGGGCGGTGATGAAGCGACAAGAAATGTATACCGGTAGTGCGAGGAGGAGCAGAAGCTTGATGCTATGGCGGAAGAACCATTCATCAGACTCCATTAATTCGTGGATCCACTCAGGGAATTCCATCAACCAAGTGTTGTTTATTTGTGTTTCAAACACTTGGAGAAAACTGGTTCTGGAAACAAAAGGCCCAACATCCTAATTTTGTAAGCTCAAAATGCACACGGAAGCAGAGGGAAATTCTAGAAAGATTAACAACATCAGAAACGACTGAAACAAGACAAAACAAAAAAAAAATGCAAAAAGAGCAGCTTACAGGAAAACCCCCACTACCCGCCACCCTACCATTTCGATTCGTAATATTTGGATTTGGACTACAGTTATTCAAGAAAAAAACCCCAAAAATTAGCTGAGAATTAGGCCATTTGAAAATAGATTTTGGAGAAAGAAAACGAAATAAAACTTCTGCCAGGCTTGAAGCTTAGAAGAGGCTAGCTTTTCCTTGAAAAGAAATCTAAAGATTGAGAAATAAAAAATTCACATCTAAGCACAAATTGAATAATAATCCCTCCGTCCCGAAAAGGTTGGCCAAAGTTGACTTTCACGTTGATTAATAAAGTAAAAACTGTGTGATTGAAATTTGGGCAAAGGAATTAACTTTAACCACATATTCCTTAGTTTAAAGGAAAATGGGAAATATTTTTGGGACATCCAAAAAAGTAAATTTGGCCAACAGTTTCGAGACGGAGGGAGTACAACATTCTCATTCAGCGAGTTAAAAACAGATGAGAGAAAACATAATCCCTTCAAAAATTATATAAACAGAAAGTGTGCCCCTCCAAAAGACCTTAAGACAATGCATTCAGCTCCTCAAAAATGACACCAGCTAGCAACTTACACAGACAACCACTAAAAGATCAAATCCCTTACTCTAGAAATTGAAAAAATAGATCTAAACCTGAAAAATATTCATATGAATCGAAGATTATAAAATCTCCAATTTGGGAATACCTGGAAATTATTTACAGCCTATCAACAAGAAAAACATAGTAGTAATTCAGAACTTGGCAGCAATTTGTCAATCATTATCCAAAACCTGGGATCAATTTTTGTAGAGATAATGAGATAATCAATCCTAAACTTTTAGCAATTCAAAAACATATGAGAAAGCTACAATATTTGTTAGAAAGTAGTATAGCAACATGATTTGGAAGTAGATGGAGTAGTCATACCTACTCAAATTACCAAAAAATAAATTAAAAAAAATAATCAATACTTTATTTTAATTCATAATAATATTTTAAAAAATCACAATTCAAAGCACACAATTACACAAATCAATTGTAACACAACAAGTCACTACTCACTAATACAAACTAATTTAACAAATAAAATGCTTAACTAAATTGTACAAAAAAAAAAAAAAAAAAAAAAAAAAAAAAAAAAAACTTACCTTGGCCGGCCTAAATGGGCAGTAGCAGACGGCGCCACTCCAGCAATCAAGAGAGAGAAAGGCAGCAGTCGGCGAAGTACGGCGATTCGGCGGTGCTCAGGTGCTGGCTGAGCGGCTGATTCGTTGAGGCGTCAGGCGCGCGTGCGATTGAATCGCGTCATTGGCTTGGCCGCGTACCTGCTGCGTTACTTTCCCCTCTTTACTTTAGAACTTGGACTCTTTTACACAATTACACTGGGCCATAATGTTTATATACTGGGCCGATTTTATTTTTTCCCTGGGCCAGATTCTTAAACAGATTAAAATTGTATATTGGACTATTGATTGTCCACTTTCAATTTGGAAGTGAAATGACAGGGATCACATATTTCTTGTCAAAAAAGTAAACAATTCATTTTGAGACAACACAAAAAGGAAAGTAGGACAATCAAAATGGGACGGAGGGATATAAATAAATAAAAAATTGTCCTGGCCATGGCCCAGCCTGGGCACCCCTACCTCCGCCCATGGCAGCATCAAAATTTATATTTAATTCAGGAATATATATATATATATATATATATATATATATATATATATATATTTATTTATAAAGTTGTTATAAAAGTATGGAAGCAATATAAAATTGCAGGGAAAAGATACATATATAAGGATGTAGTATATAATGTAAAAAGGGTTTAGAATATACCTTTAATGAAAGTAGAGATCTGTATTTGCGTCGTCATAGCTCATTTTAAACGCAATAATTGAAGGAGCTCAATTACAGATGCGTATAAGCTATTAAAGTTGACTTATTTTCCTACATATCATTTAACCTTTTTATTTGTACATGCATGTAAGTTTAATATTATTCGTACGTAGATAGTTATTTGCATGGCACATGCAATGTTTATTTTCTCTCACCTATTATACATAGGCCCCTCTCATGTATTATATATATGTTACGGACTCATGCTAAATGATTAAGCTGGAGGATTTCTCCATTGCTCTTCCAATCTTCTCTCATCTATTGTTAACAATATTATTTCACTTCTAATTTATATTTTTATCATGGTATCAGAGCCTAAATCCTGATAACAAGTTCTGTTTCCACAAATCTTCACGATCTCTTTATCATTTGGTAGCTATGGTGGTTGATAGTGAAACCACGGCTAGTTGTAATGAGCTTGGCGATAAACATGGAGATTTATATGTTATTCCATTTCGACGCCAAGAAGGTCGGTCATGCTCTTATTGTGGGAAAACTAATCACACATATGATACCTGCTTTGAGCGCAATGGCTATCCATCCTACTGGAAAAGCAAATATAAGGAAAACCATCTGGGAGGAGGAGCAAAAGCTCGTCAATTTTCTTCACGCATCATACGTGATAGTGGAGTGGCTCATGTGGATGGCAAAAACAACACTGATTTTGGTCTTTCTAATGAGCAATTAGTCCAGCTAGCTCAAATTATGAAAAACCAATTACAAGACAAGGCACGTGTCTCTACTTCTTCTGATGTTCAGATAAATATGGCGGATATTTCATCCAAGGGTCGTTCTTGGATTATTGACTCTGGGGCAAGTGAACACATCATTTGTAATAATGATGGTCTCTTTAACATTCAGAATCACACCTCCACACCAACCGTTAAAATACCTAACGGTGATTTAGCCATTGTTCAAGCTATCGGCAGTTTACAACTATTCAATGGATTCCGTCTGCAACGAGTCCTCTATATTCCGGATTTTCAGTGCAATTTACTTTCAGTTAACCGTCTCATAAAGGATTGTAATTGCACACTTACATTTTTTAATGATCTGTGTATTTTACAGGACTTATCCTCGAGGAAGCTGATTGGGGTGGGCAGATGTCATAATGGTCTCTATTACTTAGAGTCGCCAGAAAATAAGGGGGTGGCAATGGCAGTTTCAGTCAGTCTTGATTTATGGCATCAACGATTAGGACATGCATCAGACAACAGGTTACACCACATTGCCTCTCTTCAAGGACTAGAACGAACAAACAATTTTTGTGACTCTTGTGTACGCGCTAAACAGACACGCCTACCTTTTCCGGTCAGTACAATTAAGACAACTCGTTGTTTTGAATTAATACATTGTGACATTTGGGGAGGATATAAGTGTGAATCTATTACTGGTGCACGTTATTTCTTGACCATAGTAGATGATTTTACAAGAGGTGTTTGGGTCTATTTAATGAAGAATAAATCTGAAGTTCCCCAAATTTTGATTGGATTTTTTGAAATGGTTCATACCCAGTTTGAACAGCGAGTTAAAAGGATACGAGCAGACAATGGTGCTGAATTTCAAACCAACGTTTTACTCAATTATTACAGACAACATGGAATAATGTTGGAAACCTCATGCACTGACACACCTCAACAAAATGGTGTTGTTGAACGTAAGCACAGACATGTATTAGAGGTAGCCAGGGCCCTCCGTTTCCAGTCAGGCTTGCCTATTAATTTTTGGGGGGAATGTATTCTTACGGCGGCCTATATTATTAATAGGCTTCCATCACCCATCATCTCCAATAAAAGTCCTTATGAAATGTTATTTGAGAAATTACCATTTTATACACATTTGCGAGTTTTTGGGTGTTTGGTGTATGCACACAATAACAAACAAAAGGACAAATTCGGCGAAAGGGGGAGTCCTTGCGTTTTTCTTGGTTACCCAAATGGACAAAAAGCTTATCGTGTATTTGATTTAGAAAAACATACCATGTATAGTTCTCGGGATGTTACCTTCTTTGAAAATATATTTCCATTTAAGATGAAATTTAGTTCGGGACTGGACTTAAAAGATATGATTGAGCAAGCCTATGGTCAGATTATAAATCAACATCAACACAAATTAGGGACCCGGGAGATTTTCACTCCCTCTTCCAGGTACGTAACACATGATTTGCTTCCGGCTCCTTCAATGGATAGTGGACATGGAGCAACAGACAGCCACATATTTGCACCGCCTCATGAGAATCCGCCGATTAACGATGGCCCACCTGGACAGTCGCTGCATGAAAGAGACACGGAGATATGGCGTCCTCTGGAAACTACTGCACCTATGACTCATCATGATGTGGCTCTCTTAGATGAGGCCAACCATCCTGTACGTCAACCACATGGCCTCCAGCCATCCAATTTGGACTTTTGTTCTCAATCAATTGAGAGTCACCATGAAATGGTGGACACCCGTACAATACCCACTCATATGGATTTGAGTGTCACTCAGCAGACTCATACCATGCCTATTGGTCCACAAGCCACGCCTAATCGGTCACCTGAATGCACAATATCTCAAAATGAGCCAAAACGTAGCACAAGAGTTCGGCGGCCATCAACACGTCTATCTGATTATGATACTGACTTGCCACCCTCTCTTATTCATCGGTCCACCGCCAATCACGCCAACTCTATGGTATATCCTATTTCACATTTCATTAATTATGATAAGTTTTCTCCCACTCATAAAGCTTACTTGGCAGCCATCACAGCCCGTGATGAGCCTAAGCATTTTTCCCATGCAGTACAGGATCCACTATGGCGAGAAGCCATGCAAAAGGAAATTAATGCTCTCGAAGAAAATGACACTTGGACTCTTGTTCATTTGCCACCCGGGAAAAAGGCTATTGACTCTAAATGGGTTTATAAAATAAAATATAAACCTAATGGAGACGTAGAGCGTTATAAAGCAAGACTTGTGGCTAAAGGTTATACTCAAGTCGAGGGAGTTGACTTTCACGAAACATTTGCTCCTGTCGCCAAACTTGTTACCGTAAGGTGTTTGTTAGCCATTGCCGCAAAACGCAATTGGATTGTCCATCAGTTGGATGTAAACAACGCTTTTCTTCACGGTGATCTTTCGGAGGATGTTTATATGCGTTTACCACAGGGTTTTGCCAAACAGGGCGAGGCTCGTGTTTGCAAACTACAAAAATCTTTGTATGGCCTCCGACAGGCCTCTCGTAATTGGTATCATAAATTCACTCAGGCGCTAGTCGGCATCGGCTTCCGTCAATCACGAGCAGACCATTCCCTTTTTATTTTTCAAAAGGGGTCGAGTAATACCTTTGCTCTAATTTATGTGGATGATGTAATTTTGGCAGGAGATGACCTTTCTCACATCAACATGGTCAAGGGTTATTTAGATAACCAATTTAGCATCAAAGACTTGGGAAAATTAAAGTATTTTCTTGGCATCGAAGTCGCCCGTTCACCAGAAGGATTTGTTTTAAGTCAACGCAAGTATACTCTTGACATCTTGGCAGAAACAGGAACTCTCGCTGGCCGTCCTAGCTTATTTCCAATGGAGCAAAACTTAAAGCTTCGTCCTGATGATGGTAGTCCATACGTGGAGGCTTCTTCATATCGTCGGTTAATTGGGCGCCTGTTGTACCTCACTGTCACACGACCAGACATAGTCTATTCCGTCAGCCAGCTCAGTCAGTTTCTTAGTGCCCCACGACAGACACATCTTAACGCTGCTATTCGTGTACTTCGATACTTGAAGCATACACCTGGTCAGGGAATTTATCTATCCTCAGATAACGACATCAAATTGACAGGTTTTTGCGATGCCGATTGGGCCGGCTGCCCTTTCACTCGACGGTCAAGCACTGGCTATTTTATTACTCTTGGAGCCTCCCCCATATCGTGGAGGACAAAGAAACAATCCGTCGTCTCACGTTCCTCCGCTGAAGCAGAATACCGTGCTATGGCCGTCACGGTAAGTGAACTATTGTGGTTACGATGGTTACTACGAGAACTGACGATGCCTCAAAAGGAACCCACACTACTCTACTGTGATAACCAAGCAGCACGGCATATAGCTATCAATCCAGTGTTTCATGAACGTACAAAGCATGTTGAAATGGATTGCTACTTTGTACGCGAAAGGGTTACTAGCAATGAAATTAAACCGCACCACATTTCCACCGTCAATCAAGTGGCAGACATATTCACCAAACCCCTTGGCGCAGACAGATTTAATTTCCTACGTAGCAAGCTGGGTGTTCGAGACCTACACACTCCACCTTGAGGGGGAGTATTAAAGTTGACTTATTTTCCTACATATCATTTAACCTTTTTATTTGTACATGCATGTAAGTTTAATATTATTCGTACGTAGATAGTTATTTGCATGGCACATGCAATGTTTATTTTCTCTCACCTATTATACATAGGCCCCTCTCATGTATTATATATATGTTACGGACTCATGCTAAATGATTAAGC